GGTAAAGGTGGACAAAGCTCTTGCTTTGAAATTAGACCAAGTAGCCCTACAGAACGTGAAAGTCTCTTAATTTTATGGCAGTTATTCAGCGCATTTGTCCGTTGTCCTGATAGCTTGTGAAGCCAGCAGTGTTTGTGTGGGTGTGGCTGGTCAGTTTTCTCTGCAGACTGCATGAGGAACAAAGAAACATGATTTGTCTGAAAAGAGGATGCTGCTTATGTGACTACTACATCCTTTGTTTTGAGGCAAAGTCTGTCTGTGATGCCTAACCTGTCTGCTTTGTATTTAAAGTTATGCTCATAGTGCTGCAGGAAAACCCTTGTGTTCATTCTTTCCCCATCGTGCCTGTTAGCTAAGCTGAGAAATGGTTGCAATAACATGCAACTCAGCCTAATTGACAAGTATTGTACCTTAAATCAAATCAGAATGGATTTTCTTTTTGCTCACACAATTACAACCATAAGGTTCCATTTTTATTGTCTAGAGCACTTTCTTTTTCCGCCAGCCTTACTTGTAGAGGAATTAAACTGTTTAAATTTACAATATATCATTTGCACCTAAGATCTAAAATTGCATATAAAATATATATAATGCGAGAGGAAAGTTTTTCAAGCAGTGTTTACTGTAAAGCTGTAAAAAAGTTCCCATAGATGACTGCAGTGCTAATAATAACTGCAACTTCTGTAGCAAAATGAGGAAGAAGAGAAGGACAAACAAAAGGTTCTTATTAGGCCTGTTATTTTCTGCAAGATAAACTGTCCCAGAAATTAATGCAATAAAACATAATAATGTCATTCAGTATAAATCCAAAGTGCTCCCATGCTTAAGCTGTCTTGTTCAGCTTTGAAATCAAGTCCATCTCTTGTTATTCCAGATTTCAACTAGCATTAGTCTGGCTTTCTGCTTCTTAGTAAGAAGCCCCCTATGCTACACTAAAGAAACTATAAGGGTTGAAACAATGATTCGGATTAATGGTGATTAATCAATTATTGAAATAATGGTCAACTAATTTAGCAACTGATTCATCGTTAACTGGAGTGTAGAGACTCTAAAACATGCCTTTAGCTGACAAAGCAACCCACAGAGCAGTAACTATACCAAAATTGTAAAGGAATATATAAACATTTTGCATTTAAAATAAAAACCTTTTTGTCGATTAATCGAAAAAACAATCAACAGTTTAATTGATTTGCAAAATGATTTGCACCTTTAGACAGGTGGGTTTACACTGATGCACCTCAGTAAAAGTAAAAAATAGAAATAAGAGGAAAACAAGCAAGCATGCAAACATAAATCATTGAGCTCACTTAAATAATTGAAATTATTGTTATTTTGCAAATTGATTTTTTTCCCCTTATTGTGCTGGGCCTTGTTCTAATACAAAAAAACAGCTCCTTTCTAAAATCATGACAGTAAGTGAAAAAATGGGGAAGTATATTTAAAAAACAGACTGTTTTCTCAGTCTCTTCATGTTTTATATTTTTAAATCTTGCATCCACCCACTTTAGTCAAGTCTCTGCGTAGTTAATTATCTTTTCCAGCTCTTGTTTTTTTAATCTTATTTAGTGAAGAGTGGTTAAAATGAGTTGCCTGTCAGGGTTTTCTGCAGTAGATCAATATTTTGCTCTGCACTAAGCGAAGAAATTAAGTTTTTACGGAATAATTAAACTCTGTCTTCACCAATACACTTTGTATTAAGATATACCATTATAATAGGTTTAGAATCATCCATAGTTAACTTCTAAGGTATTTTACTTTTATATATATTATGGGTGAATAGTTCACTCCCTGGGATTAAAAAACTGAAATATGGACACAATGTCTCTTTTTATTCCTTCTGACTGTACCATCTCTCACTCTTTTGTTGAGTTGGAAAGGCTGGCAAAGCAAATACGTAATGGAATTTTACTCCCAAAAGATTTTGGGTTTACTTTTTATTGCATATTTAGACTACTTGGTACAGTCCAACCACCTACATAATACATGCAATAAGCTTGGTAGATTCTTTTTATGATATCTGACCCCTGACCTTGCCTGTTTTCTGAGCTTCATGCTTTCACTTCTGTCAGCGGGGGGACATCATCTCAGCAGAGAGGCTGTTTGATGTGTTTCACATCAGACGTGAATTATTCAACAAAAAGAGCGCTAGCATACAGAGCCTGCTGGACAGGTAAATAGGCCTTTGACAACATAGGAAAAATAAGTGTCAAAGGGAAACCATAACTGTTTGTCTCCCAGCAGTCGATTTGTTTCATTAAAGAAAAATATAACAGTATGTTTTACTGTACATGTAAATAAACAAGGACAACAAAATATATTTTTTGAGGTTTATCTATTTTTTGTAATTCTTTCTAAAACAGACCTAACAGTCTATTTTTCATAATCTCTTTTTATGGAAAAAAAAAATGCGTTTCTCAGATTTAAGGTGGCTTTCTCTTACCAAAGGGTAAGTGGAAGGAGCCGTCTCCTTTTCTCTATGCAAATGAGGCAGTCTGGCACCCCAGCTGATTGTTAGTTGCTCTAGTAGCTTTTGTCTTCTCTGTCTGTTCAGATTTTGGTGAAAATATGAAAAAAATATTGAGAAAAAAAATTATCCCCACTGTTTAAGTATTCTTTAGTAATAAGAAAGGAATACATCTTCAGGCTTTTGATTTTTTTGTTTTTGGCGTATTTCTGGTCCATTTTGTATATCTGCCCTTTTTCTGACTCTTGTTTTCAGATTGGTGTGACAGACATCAATTTCAGACTTAAAATCTTGTCTGATCTTTTTTGTGCATAAGATATCCACAGGCTAGAAATCCGGCCTTCATTCCTTGACTGTCTATGATAACCCCCCATCTACTCCCCTCCGGGCCACAGTGTGACCCATTCAGGCACCCAAGTGGAAGGACCACAACACTTCCCCACCCTCTGTCCTCCCCTCTGTGGCTGTATATTTGACCTCATTAGATAGGATTTGCATTTAAACATGGTTTGCTGTACAGTTTCTCTTCGGTTTCCTGCTCTATTGACCTCAGCGAAACATAATCCCTACCCCCTGACCCTCCAAATGTGACCTATTTAGAGTAACAAGCTCATTTTATTCAAAGCCAACATACATACTACAAGTTAGAATGGAGCCCCCAGTTTGACCTCACTCTGATGTTCCCAAAGTCAGTGCGTTTGGCTGAAATACACATTAACTGTCACAGTGGTGAGGCTGCTGGATGTATGACAATAGATAAAAATGTCAATCAATATCTACAAGGGAAAAAATGTCATAATTCATTTGGGCCATCTTGCGGTGATGAAGAAGAAATAAACTGTAGAATTAATCTTTTTTTAGTTGGACAAATCAAATCAAACCATACACATCCTAATGGACTTTGTTTTAATAAGCATGTAGAAAAGTCTAACCATTAACGAACATTCTATTAATAATTGAAAACATAACTGAAACTGCCCTTATGTGTTAATATATCGGCTCCTTAGGACCCAGCAGTTGAGTGGGGGATCCCAAATACCCTTCAATGTTCTCACAAAACATTCTTTAAATTTTATATTTTTATTACCCTTAAACTTTAATTAATGTATCACATTAGTTCACAACAGATTTCTTAAATCAGGGATCCATTTTATAAACAGAAATAGACTCAGTCCAGTCAGACAGAGAAATTTATTTTTAATTGCTTCTTAATTACAAAACTAGTTTTAACTGGTATATGATTATATATAAAAAAAAAAAAAACATTAACTCACATTGAGTAATTAAATTAACAGCAATTTCTCCTTCTTACCAAGCATGTGGCGCAGTGAATGGTTGATTGCATTTAGTTAACTCATTCTTAATCTCTCATGATAAGCATGCATGGGGCAACTGGGAAAAGTTGCTTTTAATTGAAATATACCAAAAGAAATCTGATGTCAAATTATGATAAATTATTCTAAAATAGCCAAGTGCAACTTGATCAAGAAAGTTAAATAATGTTAATAAAGCTTAAGTGGCTCATGTGTGATGAACTGTAAGTGGGTCCCTATTAATCAAATTCTGCTTTATTTCCCATACATCTGCTCTGGTTGTAGCGCTGCTCAGTAATTTAATCTGGATCGCTGAGGTTTTTCACATTCTTAATAAAGGTGTAGTGTCTCCATCTCAAATATGCACTAAGCAGCACTATATTACTGTACATATCAAGGCTAAATTTGTATTTTTCACTGTAGATTAGCACTCACTGGCTTTTTATATTGAAGATTATTCTCCTCATTAACTCTGTTATGAGCAGTCACATCCAGCCACAAAATGAGACTGGATGTGAATGTGGGTGTATAAACCAGTGTAGGTTCCTCAGTTCTATTTCTGTGAGTGTGGGTTGAGGTTTTCAATAGCTCTCCAGACAGCAGATAGTTAACATAGAATGAAAGCTGGAATAAGTAGAGCACTTAGCTTTTATATAGGGCCTCTGAATTTTTAATCAAGAAACAGAGCAGAAAACACAAGTGAGACAATTTGATACTAATTGAAGGAAATTACATCTAAATTTGATGGAATATGATCGATATTTACAGGAAAGCAGATACAGTCTCTGCATATCATGTCTAGACTAAAGACACTTTCAAGTTAACAAATGACTTCAAAATAGACTGATCCTACATCTGCAAACCACATTTTAAAGATTGCACCAGAATTTAGGTGGTTTACATTTTCGGAGGCCAATAATCCAAATATATATTTTGGTATTTGATTATTCATTTGATCTACTTATTCATAACTTAGAAAAACAATTCCTTTTCAATAATCAAGTCTCTTCAATGCCTTTGTTCACTTTGTCTAAAATTGTTTTCTTATCGCACTATTTACATCTAATTAAACTCTTGAGTTTTAAGTTGGTATTAATTTATGTTGTGATCATTTCCATTGTATCACTTCTCCAAAAAGTCTCTGTATAAAAGGAGAACAAATAAAAAACATAAACATGGCTATTATCTAACTGGCCTCTTTGTCCTTGTTCGTTCTTTCTCAGTTGGGATGAGAGCAGTTCCATCAGCAGTGGCCTGAGTGACGGCTCAGACAACCTGAGCTCTGAAGAGTTCAACACAAGTCCCACCCTGAACTCTCTCCCCACCACTCCCATTGGCTCACGCAGGAGCTCAACCATGGTGGTAAGAGACACAAACAGCTGTCTGATATGAACTAGCACTCTGCAGTACACACATGCTAATGTTTGTATTGATTAAGCCATTAATGCACTGATTAAGATCTGAATGGTATAGCAGAAACACAAACAAGAAAAAGCAACAAACTATTTAAGAAGAAATTGCTAGCCTAAGCATTCTACATATGCCCATAATATGTATTGCATCGATTGATGTTTGCTGCATGCAGAGCATCTGCATTTTTTTCAGGCTATATTTAAGGAGCTTTAAGACGTATTAAACTCTTGAGTTTAAGATTTAGACATTTTTCTTTCAAGGGTGTTTCAAATGTATAAGTTGACTTTAATCAACACAGATTGCTGATAGGTAACTCCATATAAAGCAGCTTTAAAACCTTTTATTTAACTGATCTAACTTAAGATTTTGACAGTACTTCTCCCAAGTGAGCTGGCGTACAGATAACCGCTATTTTTTTCTTAGAATTAAATGTTTCAGATTGTTTAAAACTAATTATAATATAGATTTAATAAAGATTTTATTCAAGAGAAGAACAACTTGGGCCCATTAGAAAAAGTACATTCACTGTCTCTCAACCTAATAACTGTTTTTTCCTCCCACCTTTTATTGCATTAGCTGCCATCAAGCATTTGCAAGAACTATGCAGAAAGTAAAGCTCGTATTGTTTTTAGAAAGTGGAGGACTGAGATAGTTATTGAGATTCTTCTGTAGCTACTTGGACCTTAATAAATGCTTGTGTTTTCTTAGAGCGCCTGATTTAGGTCACACCTCCGCTGTGTGATGTGTCTGACTAATCTGGTGGGATTTTAGAAGCAGAGAGACAGCGATAGACAGAGGGAGGTAGAAAGAGAGGATATCAGTGTAACTATGGCAACCACAGCATGTGGATGCTCCACGTAAGTCTTTGTCTGTTCATATACTAAAGGACAGGTCTAGAGCGCAACACTCTGGGAACAGACACACACACACATAAATGGGACCATCTGCACTCCTGCAACCAGGCCAACGAGCCGGAAGAAACTCAGCGCCTCCCACCACGCCTAGTCGTAGGAGTCATAGCAACCATTAGAGCTCGTGGTATCATCACCATGGCAACCTTGCATCACATCATTATGCACCCCACAAACTCTAATACACGTGGCCCCTTGTATTCTCGCCCCAAAGCCATGTGCCCGTCTATTTATTCCGTTTTAATTTTCTTAAAGTCTCTATCCATCTGGAATCTCTATCAGGCATAACATATGATCTTCTGAGGTCCGAGGTGGAATCTTTCTCATTTCAAGACGTTCGTGGGTGATGTAGACAGCTCATCTTTCCGCTTTATCTTTGTGCTCATTTCAGTAAATCTATCTGTGTGTGTTATGTATATTTTGCTATCTGTCCCGATATGTATCTTACAGCTTCTGTTTCAATAATCAAGTATCATGTATGAGGAAATGACAGTGTTTAATCATGACACACCAGCTCAGTGTTATCTCTGCCTCAGGTGATGTGACTCTGTGCGTGGGTTATGTTGTTTACCATGACAAAAAGCATTCAGGAATCTGATTTTCGTGGGAAATATTGGGGAAAAAATTTCCTTAACTGACAAATATTTAGATACATTGGGTAACTGGTAATCGTCTACACAATAGAGCATGGACAAAAACTTGACTGACTTGATGAGGGAAATGATATTCCAATTTCCTCATTGTTTGCATTGAGCCAAAGAAACCTACAGTAGATTATGTTCCAGTGGGAAGATGCTGTGCGGCTTCTTTGATAGAGTGTTAACAATTTTTCTGTTTGTTGTGTGTAGTGTCGAAAAAGGGGGACAATTCCAGTATCAAAAAAAACAATAAATCAGCCACTCTTGTATAACTATTTCTATTAATTCCAAGTTTAATTGAAAAGGTGCATCAAAGTGCGCTTTTAAGAACAAGTTAATAGATCTGGTCCATCTTACTGCAAAAAGATGATGTAATTACCCTTTTCAGTTCAAAGAATTTATTTAAAATTTTCATCAAAAATTCTCACCAAATAAAATGTTTTTTTTTTTCTTTAGATGCGCACGGATGCAGAGAAGAGATCCCTGGTAGAGAGTGGACTGTCTTGGGATTCTGATGACAGCAAACCCAGGAGCAAAAGCCAAGGCGGTGGCTCTTTTGACACAGGAAGCTTGAAGTCTGAGTCGGCCAAGAAGTGGAAAGCAGAGAAGGGTGAACTAAAGAAACCGCAGACCCTGGGCCAGGGAAATGGGTTGAAAAAAGGGAGAAACCCACCTGTGGGAGTCACCTCTCCAATCACACATACTTCCCAGAGTGCACTGAAAGTGGCAGGTGAGTCCTTAAACAGGCTAATGTGGCAAAATAAAATGTAATGTGACTACCCTCTAATTAGCTTAAACAGAGGTTAAGATTTTTCCAGCTTTCTGTTCATTCTCACTTCTTTCTGGCTGTCTTACACCCACACAGTTAAAGACACACTCTCTGTCTTTGTGAGACACATTCACCCACAGCTGCAGCCCACCCTCTGGGGCCAGAAAGTGGTGCCATGTATCAAATGCCCATCACCACCCACGCCTTTCCTGCCAACTAAACACATACAAACACATAGACTCACTGACCGACAGTTCTTTTTTTTTTTTTTTCCTAATATCCTCTACAATTAAAGCTCTATTTTTGGGTTTGGACAGAGGGAATTTATAGCTGCAAAAGAAAGGCTTTGCAGGATGTGTGTGTGTTTGTATGTGCAGGGTCATCTGAACTTGTGCCAGCCTTCAAAAGTTTCAGCCGTCACACTAACAAAGAACACAATAGTGGGGATTGTGCAGCTGCCTGTTAAGCACACCATCTGTGTGCTCTTTATGCACACATATACACTAACTGTCTCACTCATTAGATAAGCAGAACAACAGGATATATTTATAACAATATTCTGTGTCGTTTACGTAGAAAGACTGTGCAGGTGTTTTCTTTTTTCTGTGTGACTGTCCCGTGTTTGTCCTGCCAGCTGTTGAAATACTAGATATCCCAAACAAGGGTGTTGGACCAGCCTGTGATCTCTGTGTGCCTGCCTATTATTGTTATCAATAAAAGTCCTCAGCGGGAATTTGTCACCATGTCCACAAAGTTAGCCTCCAACATTTGAGACAGTAATTATTCAGAAGATGAGACCAACAGAAAACAGATTTTGAGGCTCTTCAAAAGAGAGTTTGCAAATTTAGTAACGAGGGAAATTTAGACTAATTCAAAGTATTTACAGCACATGAATGAGTTCAGTTTATCTTTGAGGTTTGGCAAAAGGCGCTGTTTCTGTCTGTTGCTGATTTTATTAAGTGTCTGCGTGTTTGTAGAGAAGCTGAGGGCAGACATTAAATAAGCAAACCACTTTGGGTGATTTATTTACTAGAATTTACAAAACACTATTTAGTGCTTAAAATCTGTACCATACATTTGTCATGTATGCACCTATTTTACAAAAAATACATGTATATTTTTGAGAATATAAAAGTATCAACAGAAGGTCATACTTACAAAAGTTGGCTAAAAGTATGAATTTATCAATTAAAAAGCAACACTAATAGAAGAACCGAGGTCTATTATAAATTCCTTATACACATTATTGTTAACTGGAATGTTTCCATATCATTTTCCCGTTCTAAAGGAAATGTTTTATCCTATAAGGCTGTCACTGAAACCAGTATTCTATATATACACTAAACGAAGCCACAAAGTATGACATTTGAGATATTTACCGGTATAAATTAAATGTATTTACTTCTAAAGAGATAATTTGCTGTTTCTCTCAGATTCGGACCCGTGTCAGAGTAACTAAAATATAAAAGTCTGGAAGTAAGACCAATAAAGGAGCTAACATTAAGAGGCAATTTTAGGTCTAAGGTCCCTGTCTCCTAGTGGGTTTGAAGTAGAGACTGGTTTCAAGTTTTTAAATAAATGGCTGGCCTCCTTTCTATTTTAACCAAGCGCTATGCTCATTTTGCCATCCATCCCAAACCCAAAATGTCCTTCTTCATGCTGGCCTTAAATCTAAGATAGACCTTTAGACAAATGACCACTACAGCTAAACGCTTTGGTGATTCAAAAACAAAATAAAAAAAAAAAACTGAAAGCAGTTTTGTTCCATCAGGCTTTTATGTTATGACCTTATTGGGCTTTCTCTGCATGAAAAAGTTAATTTAGTGCTCTGGGAAACCAATACTGTCAATGCATTTACTTATTTGTCTTTTCTGTTGTTTTATTTTTTGATTAATGTGGAGATCATGTTGGGGGACATTCAAACTAGACATTGTGACTTTAATGAAATACCTCACTCATAGACATATAGCTATTACTAATTTGTTTCCCTGGGCAAACTAGTAGGCATTGATCATTCTTTCAGTGGTCAGCTACTCAATGTGGGTTTGAACTTTCAGCTTGTCATACGTACTCTGTACATAAATTAAAAGCAGTGGTAAGGTAGCTTTGTATAAAGCATAAGTTGTCAGATGAAGCTAACAGAATTGCTAATAGCTGGATTTATCTAGATGGTGGTAACTATTTGTGAATGAAAGCATAAGATCAGCACATCTTCTCACTATAGGATATAAGTCCTTATTTAAATGGAGTACTCTATGCTGAGCCGGTTTCTTTTAAATTTCAAAACATCAGTTTTTTTCTGTCTGGATGTCATTTCATTGAATCCTCTGTAGGGCTATGTAGAAAGTCATGGTTTCTTTTACTCCAGTCCTTTTCAGAGTTTCAGTCAATCCCCCATCTTCATACCGGTACATTTGCCTGTCGGTTCTGTTTCACTGCCACCAATTTGTTCCTTCATTCAAAGGTTGGAACTAGGAGGTTTTAAAATGGATTTAGTTTATGGCCTGACACATAAACCCAATTTTCCTTGTACAAAAGAAATTCAGGAGTACTATGTTGTCAGTGTCATTATCTGAACACAGTGAACTAAAAGTTTGCTTTGAGGGAAAAAAAAGCTGTTCAAATGTCTCTGTGCGTATATGTGTCTTGTGGGTTTCTCAATACTTTTAAATAACTCCAGATGTCCACAGGCTGCATGCTGGTGGGCCTCATGCAACAGCACTTCTTTGACTCTGTTAATAGTTGGTATATAAACCTCACATAATGACTCCCATTAGACACAAATCATGAGTTTAAGGAGTTAGGACTTGTGTGGGTGGTGGATACAGTAGAGCCCTTCTGTGTCAAGTAGATTATTATCCCTTTTAACTTCCAAACATTCCCAATTAATCTGGAAACCAAGAAATGGGGGAAATGGTATACAATCCCAGTCCCTTTTAACTGGATCATCTCACAACACTTTATATCTTGAAATGACTTTTCAAGTACAGAAATTTCAGTTGAGTTTTCTGTCTTACATACAGTTACATGAATACCACTTTTCCATGCCATGCCACGCTGCTTATGTGCATCCTAGCACTGCTGGGACATTCAGAAATAAACTTACTGGAAAACTCAACGCTTAGCGGAAAGAGACAACTATTTTAGGTCATCACAATGGAAAAGAAGAGTAAAGGTTTGATAACAGTGTGTGACTGCAGTTTGCTGTGAGTCTGAACATCTAGCTAAAGGTCTGCTGAAACAGGGATTTAACATTTATCAGCAGACTGTCTGACATTCTAAGGCTTAAGATTAGATATCATGTCCCAATGCAGAGTGGTCAGTCGGTCAAATCACAATGTTCTAAACACTGCTGAAGCTCACCGCCTTTTGTTTTTAATGGTAGGTACTGTGAGGTCAGATGGAAAGCCCATGGATAAATCTCGGCTGGCAGTGAAGGCTTCAGGACTTCAGCGTTCCTCCTCCGACGCTGGTAAAGACCATCGAAATGGCACTGTGGGTGGGGAACAGCGGAAACCCCCATCTGGTCTCGTTAGGCCTTCAGCTGGTGGAAATTTTGGCTTCAAGAAGCCCCCCACGTCCACCAGTGGCAGTGCAAACAACTCCAGTACTCCCACTGGCGGGAGTTCAGGCATCAGCTCGGTGCCCAACAGCTCAGCAGCTGCGGGGAAGATTCCAAAAACATCTGGTATTCCTGTTAAACCATGTACAGGTGGTGGAGGACGTAAGACAAGCCTGGATGTTTCAAACAGCGACCAAAGTGGCTTTTTGTCTTCAAATGCCCGAACGTCTCTCCAGTATCGCTCCCTGCCTCGTCCAGCAAAAACAAGCACCCTGACTTTAACTCGACCAAGCTCGGCACGCCCAGTGAGCACCACCATGGACACTGGTTCTGGGCTAACCAAGCCTTCAGCAGCATCAGTACAGGGTTCTAAGCTAAAAGAGCCTGGCTCAGGATTGGGTTCCGGTAAGGCTGCAGGGCGTGGAATTCCCAGTCCCAGTCCGGTCAATCAAACTGACCGAGAGAAGGAAAAAGAGAGAGCCAAAGCTAAAGCTGTAGTATCTGACTCAGAGTGTGGAAATGGGCCTTTGAAGGGCAATGCTGCTCAGACCCCTTCAGAGAATGGAGGGAAGCCTTATGGGCTGAGACCACCCAGCAGTCTTAAAAGCGTGGATCTGTCTTCACCCAGCACACAGAGGTAGTCAAACTCACTCAACAAACCATTTTACACACACACTGAAGAGTTATTATTAATGCAACATTATCATTGTTTTTTCAGACTGTCTGGGGTACGCAGTTTGGCAAAACCTCCATCCATCTCACAACTAGACAAGCTTAACTCCAACGGCACAGAAGTGGAAGACCAAGATGGCTTGCCTCCAAAGATTCCTCCCTACTCTAAGCTTCAAGAACTTTCTAGCTCAACAGGAATGTCAACCAGCCCTTGCCTGACCCCCAGCCCCGCACCGATACTTAATGTAAACTCCTCAGCTTGCTTTTCCGGTTCTGGCATCGGCCTGGGACCTAGGCAGGTCACGTCCCTTGGCGAAGGTAGCACCTCACCCCTGCTCTACCCTCGCACATCTGGGCTACATCGCAGTTTGGAGTCATTGCCCTTACAGATGAGTCTGGCCCCAGAAAGCCAGGAGAGAGATAAAGATAGGGTGAGGGGACCACTGAGGAGATGCACCACCACCTCAGAGTCTCAAAGCAAAGACACAGAGGTGGACAGAGACCCTCCTTCCAGCTGGAGTTCTGGAAGTAAAGTCTCACTCACTCTTAAAGACAGGTCAGTTTACTCCTGTTGGAATATGGTTATTGGATGTTTCATATACTCTGCTGTCCCAAACAGACCTAAGATAAACATTAAAAACAACCATCTAGCTCCACCTTCTGGTGAACTATGGAAATGATAGGCAAAGTATTTATAGATGTTGATCTAAGACTTTAAAGAGCAGGACATCTGCTGATTAATAAGTAAGTCTAAACTTGGTCCAAAAATACTGAAAGAAATTGCACTTCATCAAGAACTTCGTCAATTTAATGCCTAATTTTTTTTAAATAAAGCTTAATGAAGATTTTTTTTCCTTTACGTTTTGTTCCCATTTAACTTAACAAGTGTAATTCAGAGTCTAATGTCACATTCACTTAGGTGATTAGATTTTAAGCATATAGTAACCAGGTATGAAAAATATCCCATATTGCAATTTATGAATGAATCAACATGTGGAGCATATGCTAATTCAACACTCATTGGGGTTTCAGTCATTAGAATATAAACACAAAACAAACGTGATTCAATTACTTTTCAACATTCGGTAATGGGCCAGAATTGGATTGTTATTTGATGGTTAATCCACCATCAGTTGCCAATCTGAAGCAAAAATCAACCTTTTTCAGCACAGTTCAACATTGAATTAACATATTTTAATTTGTGGGATGTTTTGCCTAGGGCCAAACCTAGGATCCTATAAGGCTCTTCCGAGGTTAATATTAGTGTAATAGCTACACTAACACCAAAATAGTTGGAAAGCAAAATATTGTTTTGATGAAAGTAATGAATTACCCACATCTCCCACATTTTTATCCAGTTCTATAATTCTGTCCACATGTTCTGCACAGCCTGGGTCTGGAAAGGCTAGATCAGGAGCAGAGCCTGTTTGAGAAAGCCTGATTTAGTGTATTTTAAAGTTTGTTTTGTCTCATAAGTAATTTAAATATTCTAACTCACAAATTAAGCAGGTACAGTAGGTGAATAGAAGAGACATTTTACTTTCATTTAGCAGTAAAAAAGACTGTTATTGTTTCTCTTATTATTGTCCTATTTAACAAAAGAGAAAAATCTGTTGAAAAAGTTAGTAAATTCTTTTTGCTTTATTAACACAATAACTACAGAATTACATATTTTTACATTTGGATTAGTGGCAAATTTTGACATTTTTAATCAAAATATCTTTAAAAAAAAAGCTAAAGATAACATGCTCATTAATGGGTTGCTGAGCTGTTATTACTACAGGCCTGCTTTCTACAGAACTGATAATAGTCATAATTACTGGCTGCCAGAAGCTGCCTGCCACTCTTTGTGTCTGCTCCTTGTTTCTGAGAGTTTAATAAGTCCCTGCAGGAGTGCTGAAATAATGACTTTGTTTAATCTCCACAGTTCTCAGAGAGACAGAAACACACTGCCAAAGAAAGGTTTAAGGTACGTATTTGAAATATACTTTTAGTCCACACAAGCAAAGCTTTTTAGCAGGCTTATTTATTACTTATCAGATACCTATTGTTGCTGTGTGTTTCGATAACTCTGGGTCAATATTGGTTTGCAGTTCACTGCCAAAACAGCTGTCTGATCTAAGTCTCCCTCCTTTAGCTTTTTTGTGTGTAGACTCCCATAACACCCTGGACAGGTCACTAGTTCATCACTGAGCAATGCTTTCAAGAATACACATTGCAGTGGTTTTAAATTGGCAGGTTACACTTCAAATAAAATACAAAATTGGTGTCAACCTGTAAAAGTTAGATCTTTACAACTTTAGACTTCACTGATCATAGTTTGTCCAGCTGTGTTTCAGTCACTGCTCTGGCTGCAAAACCTGGAACGTTTGTTTGAGAAGTTAATTTCTTTTGGTAACTTTCACTAAAATATTTTTCATGCCATGCTGAATAAAACAATGGTTAATAGAAATGTGGCTCTGTGTCGAATCATATAAAACAAGAAAACAGCAAATGTTTGATTACTGATTAAAAGTTTAAATTAAAGAAATAAAGTCAAGTTTTTGCAGTTTGTCCATAAGGTTGAGATATGGTATTTTGTAAAATAATTTTTTCACATCATGCATTTCCCCTCTAAATAAATGTGCATAAAATAAGTCTCCAACAAAGTATCCACATTGATATTGTGAGTTTAGACCCTATAACTGATCTGTCATTTAAGAGATTGCATTGCTACCCTTTTTTTATGACATTGGCTTTCTTTTCAAACTGTCTTCAGTTTCAGCAGTGCCTCTCAGCCTGAAGAGGAACTAAAGGAGAAAGGAGAGCGGAGACACTCACATACTGTTCACATTATGAGTGACTCTCTCACCCTCCCCTTGTTGTCCTCGCCCACCTCCCTGCCTCGTACCTCTAAGACTAGCATGGGTCAGTATGCACTCCTTTACACATAAATAAATACAAATAATCAATTTTCAGCACCCAGTGCTTGTTCCACATTATTTTGAGAAATATGTTTTGGTAACTACTGTCCCAACAGTACCCAGCCCTGTGGGCGGTCCCCCCAGGATGACCCGGTCCAACAGCATCCCCACACACGATGCCTCCATGGAGCTTTACAGTGCATCGCCTCTGGGCAGCACGCTGTCCCTGGCTGAGCGTCCACGCAGCATGGGGATGGTTCGTTCTGGATCCTTCAGGGACAGAGAGCCCAATGATGAAGGTGAAACTATTTTCTAAAAGAATAATCCTAATACAGCAGCTCATTTCTTTAACTTTTTACCACTTTATTTTCTCTTCCCAGTTCATGGGTCTGTTCTCTCACTGGCCTCAAACGCCTCATCGAGTTACTCTTCGGTGAGTGTGGGCAGCATACATAACCAGGTAGATACAGATTAGTTTTTATGAGTTTTGGTTTTAAAGGTGGAGGGATACAGTGATGCTTTTCTCTTGCTTCATGCTTTAAAGAGCACACACTTAAGATAATGATCAGTACCTTATTAGTCTCCTATTCTTTCCTTTCCTCTCCACTTCTCTCCTTCCCCCTCGTTCCTGTCTAACTTTTTGGCTTTTATTACTTCCTTCCAAAGGCTGAGGAAAGGATTCAAGGAGAGGTAAGTGTCGACTTTGCTGCCCAGTCACCTTTCGCTGTTTCATCCCCTTCTTTCCTTTCATCCATCAAACCCATCGTTGTTGTTCTTGAGTTAACATGTCACTTCATCATTCCTTGGTCACCATCCTCTAGATTTCTCTATAATATCAGGCGCTCTTTAACACAGTGATGCTTTGATGTCATCCACACAGCAAATCCGCATGTTGAGGAGAGAGCTGGAGTCGTCACAGGAGAAGGTTTCCAATCTGACCACTCAGCTTACAGCAAATGTATGTATCATTTTTCTGCATCCCTTCCACACCTTGCTGAGCTTGTTTTGCAAAAAGTATCTTGAGTGGTTTCTTCTAAGACAATTAGTAACCGGTTTAATCTTCTAGATAAAATTCACCTCTTTGGTCCCATTAATTAATTTATTTTTAGTTATTTAAATACGTATTCATTTATTTTTTCTTATTTTTAATATATCACGTATAACACATTTGTATAGTTATCTTATTCTGTTTAATGCATTTACATCTATTGGTTTTTTTATGATTAAAAATATATTACATTTTTGCAACTTAATGTTTTTATTTAAATCAATGAATGTGTTTGGTTTTGTTTGGAAAGGTCTCCCTTTTACCTAAGGATACTTAGTCCCACAGCACATTTATTTCTTATTTTGAGCTACAAGGTAGTTTCTTCATGAGAAACTTTGTGAGCATTACCTCGCAATAAGATGAATTGTCGTGAGATTTGTAAATTTACAAACTACAGAAAAAAACGTGTAGAATTCAAATTGAACTACAGTACAGCTATCTATCTGGATTATTCCAAGTTACTGTCAGCTCTCTTTCTTTGTCATAACAGACAGTAGGCATAGATGGTAGTAAAACTGTTATCTATGCCTAGATTATTGTTCTTATCACTAACCTTATCAAAACCAGAACAAATTCCCAAACACAGCTTTATTTTATTACGTAACTATAGATTTGTATTAGAAAATATGAGGTTGTTCTCCATGGCTATAGAAAAATAGGTTAGGAGATAAGGTTATTTTACCAAAAGATGTCCTTTTAAGTTATTTTAGCTCAATAAAAAGAATTAACAGACACCAGTTATGCTGATTCTGTTTCTTTTATGTAATTAGTATCAATTATGTTATTTTTGTCATAAAAATACACTCTTTAGCATTATTCTATGGGGGACCATTACTTAAAAGATGTAACAGTCTTTTATTTTTCATATTTTCTATACAGGCAAACCTGGTGGCTGCTTTCGAGCAAAGCTTGGCGCTGATGACATCTCGGTTGCAGAGTCTGTCTATAAGCCACGAACAAAAGGTACTATCCGAGCCGCACTTTTAAAATCAAACACACACAAAACAAAATTCCAGCAAGATTCCAAAACTATGCTTATCTGCGGAGCAGAGCCATGAGCTCTGTGAGGTGACTTTGATCACTGCCTGCAGCAGGAGCTAAATGTAGGTTTGACTCTGTGCAATTAGGGATGAAGTAGAATGGAAGATCACTGAATCAAAAACATTTTGGATTTAAACAAGAATCAAACAGACTGTCTGCATGTACACGGAAACCTACATTCCCTCACTCTTTTGTCTGGTTTTTGGCGTGAATGAACTCATCACTGCCAGAGGCTGTGTTTGATTTAAGGGCATGCATGTGAGGAGTCTCCCTGAGTTCTTCATGCCTTGCTGCTCCCTCTGAAAGCCCAGTTTGGGTTAGACCAAAAAAAAAAGCCTTTGTTGTAATTGCCAGTGCAGTGACCTGTGCAGATAAGCCTGCAGCGCTGCCTTTTTAACCTTGAGAAGGTGGGCCAAGTGGGTCCATTTATAGTAAGAGCAATTGATTACTTTTAGACGAAAGCAAGCAAAGCAAAACGACTTTTCTTTAACACTTCTGTACAAGCATTTTGTTCCCCACAAAACAACTAAAAAAAGCACAAAATGGGTGAAAGAGAAAATAAAACTCAGATAAATACATTTCAAATAAAGAAATAAAAAAAGACAGCGCTGCAAAGCTACCATTTTCAGACTGGCTTCATATCCTCTCCTTCAACCACAGACAACATCAAAAAGTCTGCTATAAAAATGAAGAAAAGCATCAAAAATGCTTCTTCTAATGTAGCTCCCCAAAATATTAAAACCTCATTCAGCTCTTAGACAAATTTTTTAAAAGACCTCAATGTGCTCAGTGTCAAGACACTCTGAGGGGTCAGACTGAGTGTGAGAATGCACAGTGGGAGTTAAGTGAGGATGTGGTCAGGACGAGGGATAGTGGCAGGTAGCTTAGCTTAGCCTCATTAAATCCTGGGGAGTGAGCAATGCTACTAGTTGGTAGCTATGCCACAGACAATTCTTTAATTGCTCGACTTTTCATCACTAGAAATTGAGGCAGTTTTTAGAGCCTGACTCTCAAGAAGACCAGATAACTTAGTATCTGAGTGGCCTACAAGGATGCCATAAAGGTGTTTTTAAGACAATTGCAACACGAAACAAGTTCAGTGAAAATGTAAAAAGCTGCACAGTCAAATTAAATTAGCATTCCAAAGTCCAATTATGGTGATATCAACTGAAGAAGGGAGCTGTCAAATGCTTTCAATGCAGAAAGATCTTAAAAAAAAAAAAAAAATACACATTCTGCTTCTAAAGGTCAAAAACACAGAAATCTTGCATTTCTATGTCATCTAACGTCATCTAATTGCAGTCCAGCTGTGTGTAATTTAATGTCAGACTAAGAAGGCATGAAGAAGGTTGGAGAACAAAAACAAAGTCTTAAGAATAATGGCAGGTTGGTCAGGGAGAAAGTTACTTTGAACATCTCTTGGAGCTCTGTTCAGTCCACATTAAAGTATTATGATATGTAGGACTGCAACTAACAATTATTTTAATCCAATCAATTAATCTGTCAATTATTTACAAAATGAATCAGATTGCAAAAGGTTCCTTAAAGACAATTAGTTGACAATTAGTTCAATAATCAATTAATCACAATTAACCCGATTAATTGTGTCAGCCCTAATGATATGGCTTTCCACCTAAACATTAGGGGCGAGTATTGACATGGGTATTGCGATACAATACACGTCACAATACTTGGGTCGCGATACAATATTATCACTATATTGCAATATCACCATATATGGCAATATTTTTCTTGCTATCAAAACTGAATGCATAGATAAATAAGCAACCTCTGTATATGTTCATCAGATGATATTAATCGTTCACTTATTTTGGTATCCATGTTGCTTGGGGTTTCAGTCAGTCCATGTCTTCCACTGCGACTACCTCAATTACAGATACGGTGCTGCACCACGCAGTAAAAATGTTTCGCTTTTAAAAAATCGATACTAGGAACTAAAAGATCAATATTGTATCAGGCAGCCAAAAATCATGATATATATTGACAAAACAATTTTTTTCCACACCCCTACTAAACATACAGGACAGGCTGCTGCAGCTTTAATGATAAACAGCAAACAGGAGAAATTAGATGTAGCTTTAAACAGGTGAATCCTAAAAGTAAACATGTTAGAATCTGCAGATCCTTCCAGAAAGAGAAAGAAAAACTATTAGTAATAATTATCATCATAAAATACTCTGAAGTGTGTAGCTGTAGTTAAAGTATGGATTTCCCCCAAAAACATGTTTAATTTTCCTTTTCCTTGTACCGCTTTGTCTTATATGATTACATAAAAGTCTGATAGAGTGAGGTTGTAATTCAGATTCAGTCAACTTTATTTATCCCAATGAGTAATTCAGTCATAGCCTACATGCTCATCCATTCCCATCTGCTATCCAAAATTATTAATGACCCAATGTCCAAGTTTGACATTTATGAAACGTTTCCACAGGATTCAGAGCTAATGGAGCTGCGGGAGACGATCGAGGCTCTAAAGACCAGAAATGAAGAGGCACAAGCTGTCATCCACGGAGCATTGAACAACCAAGACGTCATCAAAGGTTTGTAAATCAAGCAGGCAATCACTCTGTACGTGTCTCATCTCCCTTCTCCTTAAACATCTTTCGCTAATATTGAGCTTTATTTCTTTCAGATGTCCGCATTCGGCGTCAGAACTCATGTGAGAGTATTTCCAGTCTGAACAGCTTGACCAGCATGTCGAGTGTGGGCAGCCTGAAAGATCAAGAGGCAAAGAAGAAGAAGAAGAAAAGCTGGGTAAGAATAGGCGAGCTCTACTGCCAAAGGGCTGTTTTCACAATCACAGCTTGTTTTTCTGGTGAGCTTCATCCTTTCTAAAAGTGACCGAGCAGCATGGCTGATGTATGACCTGTGTTTCCCTCCCCTGTGTTGGGTTATTTTGCTGTTTCAGGTGTTTGAGGTGAGTGCCGTCCCTGTGTGATCATCTAACTCCTATAATTTTCATTCACACAGCATGATGGGTCATCTGAAACTACAGTCCGGTCATCTCTGCTGACTGACTTACTGCGCTGCTAATAGCCTTAATGAAATTGATGAGAAATGTTTAATTAAATGAATGGCTCTAAATCTGTCATGAGAGGAGAGCAGCAGACATGACGAGCCATTAAAATGATTAATTACTGCTAAATTGACTCTTATTAAATGAGCTTAATGATTTTTCCCCTTATTTATTTGGTTAACTTGTAATTCATTCGTCAGTATAAATGTGAGATGTTATTGTGTTAAACATGCTGTACCATAATAATGTTTACTGACTGCATTTTGCTTATGCATAAAATTCAACTAAAATTTAAAGGGATAGTTTGTCATTTTGGAAGCATTGTTTTTCTTTTCACTTTTATGTAAGACACTTAAAGTACTCAAGCTATCAAACCAGTCAAAATATATTTAGAGATTTAAAAATGTGAAGAAAAAAAAAATAAAAAACTATCTGTTTTAAACCTGGATGAAATGGTATGATGTAATGGTCGGTGTTCCTCAGCTCTAAGTTTCCAGAGGCTTAAAATGTTTTAGACAGGATAAAAAAAAAATAATTTGGAAATCACCATACATTCATTTTCTACCTTTGTACTGGAATTTTTAACTCACATCTCCAAAAAATGTATAGAATCATGGTCTTTAACAAGAACGGTTAAATCTGACGCAAACAGACTTTAGTGGCGCCAAAATTGACAGACTCCTCTAGGTTTAATAGGTCATGAAACATTTTCAGAAAAACTGAGCTAAAGTCCAGCTGCTGCCAATTTAAGCCTTTTTGTTGTTGCAATGATTTGGGTAATTCAACATTTTACAGACAATCTGATTCTTTTCATTTTTTTTTTTTTTTAATCAGCAGCGCAAACAGTGCTGCATGAGCTCTGTAACTATATTCTTTTGGTGCTGGAGTGGATAAATTATTAGGAAAATTTTATTTGTTCGTACAGAGAGCTGTAATCACTCAATTATTATCCCGCTTGTGTTTCCCATTTTCTACCAGAAAGAGTTGATCTCTTTTAAATTAGGCTTTAAAAGTTTTAAAGGTGGAAGTCATGTAGAAACAGTTTGTTCAATATTTTAAGTAAAGGAGAGGAAAATGGAGCTGCTGTCATTCTGTTTCTTGTTTTTCCATGTCAGTGGCTCATATGTACTAAACATTAGCAGATCATATGCATCTAAGCATTGTTTGCCAATTGGAAAGTATTTAACTGTTTTCCTGTTTTTGAATTTCATTTGAAACATTTTTTTTTATATATTGAAATACATTGTTTAAAAACCTCTGTTTTGACTTTGTTTTTTATTATTTAGATAAAAGAAATAATTTGCTCAACATTTGACACAGGCTGAATGAAATGTTTAGCTTTCTTAAATGGAAACGTGATATTCTACAACTGGTTTTAGTAATTAATGCTGAAAAATGACAAACTATTTCATTACTGTGATGCATGCCCTTTTTAACTGTAACACTTGACCTATTTTAATCTTCTGAGTTACTAGAAAATGCTTTCTGTCTCTCTTTTAATGTTTGCGTGCAGCTGAGGAGCTCCTTTAACAAGGCTTTCAGTATTAAAAAAGGCTCCAAAACCTATTCCGACATTGAGGAGATCACCACCCCTGACTCATCAGCTCCCAACTCACCAAAGATGGCTCATGAGGGAGGAGAAGCGGGTGAGAATCTCCCGTCATCTTTGAGAACATCAGCTTCTGCCACGTCTTCTGTGTAAGTACACTAACAGCTTTAACAGAATGAAATCTGGATGTGTTAGTCTCCTGTGATGAGAGTAATCTGGTTTCTCCAGGATCATGGAAACGGCAGAAGAGGGAGAAAATGGCGAAAGAGCGGTATCTGAGTTACGGTCGGAGCTTTGGGAGAAAGAGAGGAAGCTGACAGATATCCGACTGGAGGCTTTAAGTTCTGCACATCAGCTGGAGCAGCTCAGAGAAGCCATGAACAATATGCAGGTTTGTTTTGCCTGCCTTTTTCTGTATGCTTCATTATCAATCCCATGGAATTGTGCTTATTCTTCAAGTTTTTAGTTTTCTCTGTAAATTAAAAAAATATATATTGTGTGTTCCAGTCCACCGTGGACAATCTAAAGGCAGAAAATGACCACTTGAAAACAGGAAGTCAGTTCCCTGTCTCCGGCCCTGGTCCCACCTCCTCCACCTCTCAGCCATCGGGCCTTGCTTCTCTCCTGGGGCCCTCAGTCAATCAACCAACCAGCATGTCCCTCACCAAATCCTTCAGCCTCAGTCTGAATGATTGTAAAGCTCCAGGTAAAACTGAATAAAACTCTAGTCAGCATTCAGCTGTTAAAATATTCAAGGATAGTTAAACTAATTTTATATTGCTTTCTTTTAGAATTGTCTTCTTGTGACCTGCTAAGTCTGTCTTCTCAACATGAAGAGGTCCGTGCAAAAGTTCTGGTTTGCACTGGGGATAATATAGAGGTAAACTAAGAAAAATCTTTTAACAGTAGCAAACAGATAGTATGGGGATGTTCATTTTTTAAGCTATCTTTGTCCCCCTCTCTATATTTAGGACAGGAAACAGAAACAAGAATTCTATCTAGGTTCAGTGATGGTCAGTCCACGGATGGACTGGACCTCCCTGGACTCCCTCATTGCTAAGACCTTCCAAGTAAGTCTAACTTAGTATTCAGTCCAAGAATCAACAAAGGTGTTATCTGTAAATAGGTTAGCTCAGTTTTAATGTCGGTTGGCTTTTCTCTCTTGTTCAGAACTACTTGAATCAGGTGGACCCGACCGGAAGCCTGGGTTTGACCTGTGACTCTCTGCACATGTACCAGCTGGACCAAGGGGTGCAGAGAGCTATAGGGGGGGTCAGGCCCCAAGTCTCACCACATCAATCTCTTGGAAATGGTCCCAGTCAAATTTGTGTCACCTTGAAAGGTAAGCAGTAAGATGCTCTGGTTGGTTTTTGAACATTAAAAAATGTATCCTATAAAAGCTCATTTTAATGCACTGAGGTGCTCTATCTTCTAGTTGACGGGCAAAATAAACAGCAACTTTGTTGACCATAAAACTATTAACTCCCTATACAAGAAAAAGCCACAGAATAGATGTGTATCAGTAGATATGTAAAGAATGTATAGTTTGCTACTGCATTAGAAGAAAGCAAAAAACTTTATCTGCAGCGTCACAATCCTGTACATCTTGTCTTTTACTTAATCATCCACGGGGGAGTCTGATGCTTTTAAAAGCAGCCCAAGTATCATCAAGTAGGGACAGACAAGTGTTCTACTGTTTATTGCTATCTAGAAATTAGTTTTAATATCAAAATAATTTGATTTATGGGGAAAACATTAAACTTTATGAAATGGTCACACACCTCAAAAACTTTACTGTTACTTTAACACTTTTTCACTGTTTACTTAGATATACTTATATGTTTTTAGATATGATAAAATAACTTAAGTGTGTGCTATTAATATATGAAATTGTACATCTGAATCAAGTGTACTAAAGTAAGTGATTCATCAATCAGAGAGTTATTTTTCCAAGACTTTGCAGTAAGATACAGTCCCAGTGATGCAGTCTGTTTGTCTGTAGCACTCAATTTCTCTATTCTATTAAATATATTGGACCCTCTCCATACTATCTTCATGTCTTAATTATGTTTTAAATGTGAAAATGTGGAAAACATAAAATGATAAAATACACATATATGCATTTAATCTGAGTTATTTAACCAAAATTAAAATAGTTATATAGTGACCAATTGGCTAAGTACTTATATCAATTCATTTAATTGTGCCAAAAAATATATTCATGTTATGTGGAAAAGAAATGTTCCTTTGTTTCCCACTGTGGGGAAATTTAAGCTCTAAGTTAAACTTAGATATTAGAATGCATTTAGCTGCCTCACTGTGTAGAGTACAGAGAATATTCTGAAGTTAAGGATGTTGTTCAGAAACAATTCAGTGTCAAACCATCCATCTCGTGGCCGCCTGGGGACACAATAGCCCTAACACTAACCACTAGACCACCACTCCTCCATAAAATGATGGCTGTTTCTGTTAGCTGGGTCCTGATTTGATACTAATATTGAATATTGTTCCAATATTACCGAAAAAACTATCGGGTTATATTGTCCTGCATCTAAAATCACTGATATTGGTTAACTTATTGGTTAATATTACATGGGTCAGTGGTTCTGATTTCTATTTCTGTTGACTATTCAATCAATCAATCAATCAATCAATCAATCAATCAATCAATCAATCAATCAATCTTTATTCCAGACACAAAAAGGTCCATAGAGAAAAAGAAAAAAAAGGTTAACAATATAATTATGTAAAAAAGAGAAAAATAAAATAAACATGACGTATTCACCGAGTCACAAATAGTTCTCTGTTTTAGTAACAGTCCTTGATCAAGCCTTTCTAACACAAAATAACTGATTAAAGCCTATCACTTTTAGTGCTCATATCATACCAGGTCAATATCTGAATCAGTTGATTCTCTGAGGTGCAATATCTGTATTTTATCATAAATGGAAAAAGTCGTAACAGACAAGAACCGATTCATTAATGTTTTTCTTTTATATATATTCAGGTTTTTATTGTATGGAAGAAATTGTTTACTTAAATTCCAACTGAAGAAATTTGTTTTCCTAAGGAAGGAAAGATGCTGTTGTATTACCATTGACCTCAGAGACCCAAAGAATATCCCCAATATAACATAAAGTTGACATTTCCAAGAAGACTAATAAAATAACTTTGGATAATAACTACTTGATTTGTTTGTGTAAATGAAGTTTTAAATGCTAAAAATCGAATCTCGCCTTTCTAGGTCTTAGAGAAAAAAGTGTGGACTCGCTGGTGTTTGAGACTCTGGTACCAAAGCCCATGATGCTGCATTACATCAGCTTGCTGATGAAGCACAGACGTCTGGTTCTGTCTGGGCCGAGTGGGACGGGAAAGACCTATCTGGCCCAGCATCTGGCCCACTACCTCCTGCAGTGCAGCCAGATTGACTCCTCCGACAGTGACCATGAGTCTTGTGTCTTGGCCCGCAGTGCTGCAGTCACCTTCAACATGCACCGTCAGTCACCAAAGGTAAAACACAGCTTTCAGCTACGTCTACCTGCTCATTTTGCAGACACATGTTTATTAGTTGTTATGCTCTTACTTAGTTAAAAGTCATATTTCTTCCACTTCTGCAGGATTTGCAGTTGTATCTGTCAAATCTGGCAAATCAGATTGACAGAGAGACCGTGGCAGAGCTGCCACTGGTTGTTATCATAGATGATATCAGTGATTCAGCGGCCATCACTGAACTAGTAAACGGAGCACTTACCTGCAAGTATCACAAATGGTAAGTTCTCAAAATTCTATGTAAGCAAATAATTAAATAGCTGATTGCTAAAAGTTTAGCTTTTTATTTGTGTTTATATTTTAGTCCTTACATTATCGGAACAACCAATCAACCCATGAAGATGACATCTAACCACGGACTGCACCTTAGCTTCAGGTAAGGGCCTAAAATTCACAATTTTACTGATAAACTCTTGAGTCCTGCAGATGTATATTTAAGATAAATTACTTGAAGTATGGGTAGTAAAATAATAGCTTTTTAAATGTGAAATAGGATGGTTACGTTCTCCAATAATGTGGAACCAGCAAATGGGTTCCTGCTGAGGTACTTGCACCGTAAAGCTGTGGAGACATACCAGGAGGAAGAGCAGGAATCCCCACAGCGGCAGGGACTTCTACGCGTCCTCGACTGGATCCCTCAGCTCTGGTACCACCTCCACGCTTTCTTGGAAAAACACAGCACTTCAGACTTTCTCATAGGTGAGAGCATTCTGCGTTAACTTCACCTAGTTTGGAATGGTTTGTAGGTCCATTGAGAAGGTAAAGAAAGGTTTAACTGGATATGTTTCTCCCCTGCAGGTCCCTGCTTCTTCCTATCTTGCCCAGTGTCAGTAAAAGAGTTCAGGCAGTGGTTCATTGACCTGTGGAACCACTCCATTATACCATACCTCCAAGAAGGAGCCAAAGATGGCATCAAGGTGTGCAAACTTTTACTTCCTAAGTGTTTTTTTTTTTTTAACATGTAACCCTTTTTAGAAACACTTTTTTTGTATCTGTCTGTTCTCCAAGGTCCATGGTCAGAAAGCCGTGTGGGAGGATCCAGTGGAGTGGGTGAGAGGTACTCTCCCATGGCCAAATGCACAGCAAGACCAGGCCAGGCTCTTTCACCTCCCTCCTCCAAGTATTGGGCTGCCCAGTGACGAGAAGAAGCCCTCCAAAGATACACCTCCTCCCAGCACGCTGGAGTCAGACCCTCTGGTGAGTGAACCGTAATTACTACTGGTACTGATACTGTTGCGGTGTTAATAGCTTCAAATGCTGGAAAATAAGCAGCATCAGACATAGTTCAGCTTAAGTTCTTTGTTTACTTTATTGTCCCCTCCTTTTCCTCCACATACAGGATCTTTTGTCACATACATACTCAGAGCTCCCCCTTCTGTCCTTTTCATGCAATAACAGGACATAACAGATATTTTATAAACTCACCACATCAGATAGTTTAAGTCACATTAGCCTTACCTGGCAGATTCAAATTTACTTGCGGAAAACTTGTAAAACAAGCATCTGTTAAAAAAATATATACTTGTTTTCAAGGTTGAATGTAGAAAAAAATGGTACCATAAATCAATTATGTTTTCTGTGGTCCCTTTAATACTAGGGGTGTTTTGACATTTTGATGTTTTTTTCTGAAATAAAGTAGAAAATTTTTATTTGGCATTGAAAAATTAAAGAATTCACACTCACAGTTGAAGTGTATCATGGACTGTTTATTAACTAAAAGTGCTCTATAAATTAGTTGAACCACTTTAGCAAATTCAATACTTAAAAAATCATTTTAATTTTATTAACAGAACTAAATTCTTAAAGGAAATGGTGTTGATTGAATGATTTACTCTGCTTTCCTCTGTCTTAATGTGCTTCCCAGATGGCCATGTTGCTGAAACTCCAGGAATCCGCCAACTATATTGAGTCTCCAGAGAGAGAAGGCTGTCTGGATCCCAGCCTGCAGACTACACTCTGAGCTGGTGTAAACTGGGATTAAACAAGAGTTTAAAGGACTCTATGGTTAACATGTTTTGTGCTCAGTGAGCAGCTTCAAAGCTAGTGTTAAAAAAAGGGTTTTGAATTAAGGGTTTGCTCTGCCCTGTTTCAGGAGGACTGGGAAGACAAACTGACAAAATGATGATTCTTTCTCTTGCCTCAGTTTTTCCCATATGGTTTTTTTTTTCTTGTTTAATCTGCAAGTGCATGGTGAAAGGAAATGTATGACGCAAAATATTACAGTAACCCTAAAAATGTCCCATGTTTCCCTTTTTTTGTTCTTTTTTTAATAGCTACTGGTGCTCACAGGTTTTTGTTGAAGGCAGGCACTTCATTTCAGCTGATTGTGTTATCGGCTCCCAATGAGTTGGACCATCACTGGACAGCAGCCAAAATGCACTTTATTTTCTACTTTTGAAAATGGAATTTTAGAGCGCATAGTCAGTGAATGTGTCGAAATGGAGGGGGTGCCGGCATAACTTAAAAGTGCAGTTTATGAGGAAATCCAGCAGGTGGCAGCATCTACTGGGCCCTGTCTCATTGTTTGAGTGGTTTGTCCTGATAAGGTGCTCACTAGGTTATGAGAAATGTAAAACACACATTTTTGAACATGGCCTTGAATGTTAATTTTGTTGTTTACTGTAGATCAGTTTGCCAAGGTGTGCAGCTCTAAGAGGAACATGCATGGATGACTATCAACTAGACTCTGCAAAGCCTCACTGGTCTTAGTTAACTAATTTCTTTTCTGCAGAAATAAAACACAGATACAATAGCAGCTTGTTGATCAAGTCTACTGTCTCTGACTATGATTGCTTGCATTGGTGGGTTGTGTTGGCTGCTCTCTTATTTTGTGGTCACAATAGCAAGTCATTAAAAACTTGTGCACAGACTTGGCAGAGTTTTTACGCTGGATATCCTTCTAGCCTCCGTCATCCGTATCAAAGATGCGGACTAAAGGAACCTATGTTCTGCTCAGATCACCTTTTAAACACATAGATGTGTTGTAAAAAAATAAAACTTAAGATGCTGATTTTGTAGGATTTTGTACTCTAGTCACCTTCATCCATCACCTCAACAGATAACATGCATTTCAGCATGGGAGCTATATAAGGCAGGGTACTCTGTGTTTACAGTGTACCCTGCCTGGCGAAGATGCATTTCAACAAAATGACATCATGAATAATTTACTTCCTCTTTGCTCTTTAAATCACAAGATCTTTCTTCTCCAAACATAAAGAAAGCCTTTATTAACACATTAAGTTATTTTTCAACTAAAACCCTTTTCCCTATTTTTTTTTCTTTTTGCACAAAATATTTGTTAAAAATAAGAAACAGTATTTATTGCTCCTATCTGACTGTTATGTGATAAAGGGAGGTGAAGATAGAGGAAACTGCTGGTAATGGAGAACTCGGTGCACCCCACCTCAACCCTAATGTACCTCAGACTGCCATATTCTATTAAGATGTTCCTCTGCTTTTGTTTGAAGGTATAAAAGTAAAATCCTGATGCCTAAGTCTATCTGTGCCTGAAACCCAGTTTGGCCTAAAGCTGCTGTCAAGCTGCTTGCTCCCACCTGGAGGCCTCGATTTGGAGGAGACATTCTCTCACCTACTCTGATGTCACTTTATAAAGCGGTGACCTGGTGTTTGGGTTCTAATCAACTGGACCTGGATGAGCTTTTTTGCAAATGTGATACATGTCAGAATTTAAGAATGTGCATCACGTATGGGCTGTTAGTGTGCAATTGGACAGTTTTGATCTCAAGGCTGAGAGATTTCGGGCGAGCAGTAAGATGTCCAAATATTCCTTTCATGTATTGGACCTACAGTACCACACTTTAACCGTATCAGAGCGAAGATCTTTTAATGACTGGGACTCTTCCTCTTTTTGTTTTTGTGTTTTTTTTTAAAACAGAATCATGTTTTTCTTTTTGTTTTCTTTTCTTATATTTGTAAAAATGTTCTCTCTTTTGTACATGAATGACATTACTATTGTAAACCTTGTACATAGCCACTGCATCTGCGACTACAATCACTGAAGCGAAAAGAGAGATCAAAGAAGAGCTTTGCCCGTTGATGCAGAAAAAAAAGGACGTCCTGTGATTTTTATTGTCTTCCTCCTGCAGGAAGATGCACTTGGATTAAAAGTGGACTTCATGAAATGTCATGTCTCAATAATCTCATCAAATTCCATATGTCTAACTTTAAGCACTGGACATAATAAAGTCATGCCATTTTTCTCACCAGTGACTGTTGATTGGAGGTTTGCACCTTATTGCTCACTAGGGGGCATCATTGAATTGGGCTTGTTCTGTTCTTTTGGTTAGTTTAAAGCTAAATGCATTTCTGCAAAAAATCATATCAAAACAAACGCCTAAAATCATTTTAAAAGATCACTTTCCTGACATCTAAAGAACATGTTTGTAAGATATATTCAAATTAGTTCTTATGTAGCTCAAATATTTTCTGATTGCATATCAGAACATTTCAGAAAATCAAAATACCACTAAGATAATATATGTTATTTGATAAAAAAAAAAAAGACTTATTTTATGTAAAGCTGGTATATATTTATATTAATATGTTAGGTAACAATCTTAGGTCAAATCAATTAAAGTCCTTGAGTCTGGAGGAACAGTAATGAGACACAGAACCCAAGCTGTTTTAGATGCAGGGTGAGGTTTTCACAGTCAGTGATGCTCAGAAAGCCATGATATCTGATGATGTTCGCTGACAGTGCTTCACAGTTTACATGTCTTCATGCCGCCTTCAAGCTTTTATGGAGATGGTTGTTTTACTCCCCACCCTACTGCTAAACGAACCAAGTCCTGCTTTATGGTATCGCTTTGCTTGATTGGCCAGCTCAGCTAGAGCGAACCTCTACTGATTGTGAAGGAGATGAACAGTGCATACAAGGTGAAGACTACAAAGGAAGCAAATTAAGTTCACTAAACACCTCAGCAGAACCACTGGTTATTGTTATCTATGGTATTCTTATCATAGATGTAATGTTGCCTTGATACTGCATAAGCCATTCTAGACCATATTAGTTTTCATTTTTCTTAAGATAAAAAAAAAGCGCTGAAAGAATTTTGTTTCTCCAGATTCATTGTAAAAAAAGAACAAAATACGAAAGTAATTATTGGAAAAAATCTACCTCTCTGAAAAATTACATTCTTCAGCATTCAATCACTTTTGTAGAAAGTTATAAAATAGCATCAGCCTGTTCTTATTTTTTATATAAACATTTTAAATAAAAATAAGTAGAACTGCTTCATTTGTATTTCAGCAACTGTTGTTGCCAGGAAGAAGACAAGTAGGGATAAATACAAGAGTTAGTAGGGGAGGTAAGTTAGGAGATGGGTGGAGTCCCCCCCCAACACACTTTATATGTTACTGAGGACTCCTCCCAACCCTCATACAGATCACTGTCGGTGTGTCAGCAATGCCTAGCAAACCTGCACCTATTAAAAAGTCTCCAGCCAAAAAGGCTGCAGAGAAAGCACCTGAGCCTGCTCCAGAGCCTGAACCTGCTCCACCTGCAGAAGCTCCACCTGCTGAGGCACCAGCTGAGGCAGCAGCTGCTGTTTTTGAGGAGGAAGCAGCTCCTGCCGCCCCATCAGGGGACACATCTGCAACTGAGGGAGCTGCTCCAGGTAGAAAACATCTGGAAATGGAGGGAAAGGGAAAGCTTGACTTGTTACTACTTCAAATATTTTATTTAAAAAACAATAATATATGATATCATGTAAAAAAAATGAAAGGTAAAAAAAAAAAAACATCTTTAGAAAAATGACATCAGGCTGTTGATCTGAATTTACAAATATAAATGTTTATATATGTGTGCAGGTGTGTGTATCTATTAAATATTTATAACCATAAATGCACTATGATTTAAGGGAATGTTGATGTAGTGAAATGAAGTTCAGCTCAAATTATGGGGTTTGTTGATAGTTTTTGTTTTACTTTTCTGTTTCGAAGTCATCATTGTTGAATGGGTAGTTAGATGCTGGCATCTTGGTTGTATTTTTGTATACTTAAGCTAAGATTTCAACCATTTTAGTACCAGATCCCTTAAATGTTCCAAACTAAATATTATTCTGTACAGTAGGTGAGATCTGTTCTGGGTTTGACCCACTGGTGTTAATAGCCCCACTTGGAGGAGACTGAAGGGGATCTTTAGATTGGTCACTGAATGTCTTCTATTTAATGTTTAGACTTAGACAGATTTATATGTCATTTTGTTTAGAAATTTCTTTTAGAACAGCTCTCTGGACAATTTCATTTTTATAAAAGTGCAGCCTTGAAAATTAGTTAAAAAAAAAAAAAATTTATATATATATATATATATATATATATATATATATATATATATATATATATATATATA